AGCTATCACCCTACCCTCCTGCATCAAAACACACTTGATGCCAATCCACGAAGCATCACAACAAACTGTATATGAACCAGATATTGATGGCAAAACTAGAACTAGAGCTATGGTCAAGGCAGTTTTGAGCTTCTGAAATCTCTCCTCACACTCGTTGGACCACCTAAATGGAGCACCTTTCTGAGTCAACCTGGTCAAAGGAGCTGCGATGGATAAAAATCCCTCTACAAAACGATAATAATTGTAATGACCCGACCGGTCATTTTGTGTTTTGAGCCTTGTTTCCCCTTTTAATGCTTCACACATGTGTATTTATGGTTTTATTTTTTTGAGGTTGGTTAGTTTCGAGTTTTGGTTGATTTGGACCCTTTAGTTCTTGGTTTAGAAGCCTAAGTTGGAAGTGTTGACCAAAGTTTGACTTTTCTCAAAATGACATCGGAACGGTATTTTGATGGCTCCGATAGGTTTGTATCATGATTTTGGACTTGGTCATATTCCCAGAATTTAATTTGGAGGTCCCTAGGTTGATTTGACTTGTTTTGCCTAAAGTTAGCAATTTGAGGTTTAGAAGTTTCCCTAAGTTTGACCGTAGGTTGAATTTATGGCTATCGAGATCGGAATTTGGTTTTTGGACTTGGAATAGGCCTGTTTTGTCATTTGAAACTTGTCTACAAACTTTGGTGACATTCGGAGTTGGTTTGGTAGGATTTAGATGCTTTGTTGCAATTCTAGAGGTTATTGAGTTTTCTTTTGAAATTAATGCGTTTTGATATCCGATTCATGGTTCTAAATGTGTTTTTTGGTTTTTTGATCATGCGATAGAGTTCGTATGATGTGTCTAGACTAGTATGGATGTTTGGTTTGGAGCCTTGAGGGCTCGGATGAGTTTCAGATGTGTTTCGGAATGATTTGGACTCAATTCCAGAATACTGTTGTACGGGTGTCTCAGGTGTCGTTGCGAGCAACAACATTGCAATTGTAATCATAGAAGAGGGGTCTCAAGTATCGCATTTGCAATTCTTTGATCACAATTGCGAAGAGTAGGCTAGACTGGGTAGGTTCGCATTTTCGACATTTTTGTCGCATTTGCGACTTCCCCTTAGGTTGTCAGGCATCGCAATTGCGGGGCTTTCTTTGCAATTGCGAGGGGTCGCAATTTCCAACCCAGTGTCGCAATTGCGACATCTGCAACTGAACAAAAGGGCTGGAAAAATGGGTTTTCATCTCATTTTAGAACCCTAGACTCTGTAGGAGGTGATTTGGAGAGGGGACTCCTACCTACAATTATTGGGTAAGTGATTTTGATCGATTTCCAACTATATTACATGATTATATATGAGATTTAACATCAAATTTATGAGAATCAAAAAGATATTTTGGAGAGTTTTGTCTATGTTTTAAAAAATGAAAATTTGGGATTTGAGAGTCGAATTGGACTCTGATTTAAAAACAAAATACATATATTGACTCGTGAGGTTATGGGTAGCCGGGATCTACCCTTGGACCCGGGTTTTGACCGAGCGGTCACGGGGTGGAGTTTTGGGGATTTTTGTTTTTTAGCAAATATACAACTAGGTTATTCACCTAGAAACTGTTATATATAATAAATCCCAAACTGGGTCAAATACACTGTCCAAGTAAATGAAAATAATAAATAAAAAAGCCAAGGGCTATTGCTACCAAATACAATGTAGCAGTAGCATAATGGTAAATGGATATTAGAAAGCTAATAATTTAAAACATCCAATTGTTGCTGATGACAGTAAATGCACACACCAATTGCAAACAATTCCATGTAGCACCAACAAAGCTCTCACCAGGTGCCATATGTTGCAATCCAAAGTAGTAGGTATGTATAAAGTCACATGTCGTAAAGCATTGCAGGTCGGATATCTTCAATTTGGTGCTGAAGAACTGAAATTCCAGCGTAAAAGTTATCATAAAGAAGAGTTTGTAATGGTTAATTTCCATCAACCAAACAACTAAGCCCAACTGAGTTTCCATAAGGCATAAAACAGCTAAGTACAAATGATGTTCCACACACCAGAGTAAGCACTGTAGATTGCTAAACAAGCAAAGCAGTTTACGTTGCTCTAACAGTCCCATAGTAGTGTTGAAGCTATGTAGAGCAATGTAAGGATATCGTCCATTTTGTTGCACCTGTTTATACTGAAAGCTTCTGTGTTGAAGTAATGTTGTTGTAAGTTATCGAACAACCCCCAGAATGAGCATGGTAACATGCTAATACTACTGGGAATTGATACGACAACAACCAAACAGTAATTACCTTCAAGATCACACCAGCAGTAGTAAGGTGTTGTGCAGAAACAGTGAAGCTTGATCTTTCTGTGGAATGATGTTATGTTGATGTATTCGTAGAAGCACACTTACAGTTGTAGCGTCATTGAATACTTATGTATTGGTGCAGAAGAAACCATAAAGTGTAGCAAAATGTCAATGGGATCCTGCATGTGAGGTTTGACTGTCTTAGCCGGATCCTTGTTACAGGCCCGAGATAATTGATACAACTGCAGGAGTTTGAGCATTTGGGATGCTAATACCACTCCATACAGATGCCTTAATCTGAGCCTATCTCTGGAACCTGCAAAATGAAGCAAACAAGTTAGGAGGAACAATTCTGCTCCCAAGTTCTTGTGTGTTCTGGAAGTAGTGAAGAATATTGGGTTGTGAGTGAGGGAGGAATGTTGTGGATGTTGTCTGGTTGGTATATTATTGTTGTATGTCATCAAACCACCCCCAGAATGAGCATGATGTCGTACTAATACCACTAGGAAGTAATAAGATTGCACACAACCATGTAGTACCTCCAAAACCACAGCAACAATAGTCCAGCTGTACAAGTATAGCTTGGTTGTCATGTTGAAGGACATGAAGGTGATGTAATCACATCAACAAGGAAGAAGAAGTAGCAAAAACACATTGTTATATGTTTGTGCATAAGCAGCTATACCCAACCAATAAGTGCCTAGTGTATTCCTTAGGGAATATCTGGAAAGTATCTTCCCATTTATTGATGCTTCAACCACAGAAAGATTCCAGTTGCTGCAAACCTTGTAAAAAACCTGTGGTAAGCCTCCAGAACAAAGAAACCCACTAATTTTATGTAAGCCCGGATTTCCTTGGATGAGACTTTGAGAACAATCCTGTGATAACTCATTTCTGAGTAAGGTAAAATGTTCAGAATTGTTTGTACATATAGGCAGCCAACTGATCGTATGTGTGTAATTAACTTCACCCTGTGGTAATTTTGATCTTTTGAATGCTTGACAGGTTGTTTTAGTGATGTAATACAGGACACCAAAACTTTCAGGTTGATCATGTTTCCATAGTATAACCTGTGTAACATACCCTGACTGGACAAAATAAAATCTTGTTTGTAGTAATGCACTGCAACTTGAAACTGTACAGTAGAATGATAATCTGCAGAAATCATATGCATGTAGGGTAGTCAGGATAGCAGACTTCAATCTGGAGGTCTTCTTCTTGCAATCCTAACCCTAAGGTTAGCGATTTGTGCCTTGTCTTGGTTAATGAGTGTCTTGCCTTCATTATAGAATTCCTGAAATGATTGAAATATTGTTGTACCTGCACCAGAAAAAGCTATGTTAGCCAAATAGCCTTCCACAATATTGCCCTCTTTTAGAACATGCTCAAACATCACATTGAAGTTCTCATTCAATTGGTTGATCTTCTTGAGTTCCTTTCTTATATTCTAAGGTACCTCCCATGCACCATCAATTATTTTCTTCATCACCAGTGAATCTGTCTCAATTATGAGAGGATGAAATTGCCTTTGTACACAATATGATAGTCCTTCCATAATTGCCTTAGCCCCAGCAACTATATTATTTGTTATCCATATCTCTTCTGCCTTTGCAAATAGCACATCTCCTGCATCATTCTTTACATAGAAACCATATGAGCTTGGCCCAGGATTTCCCCTTTTTGTTACAGCATAAGGCATGTAGCCTTCAAAAAATCTAACCATTTCAGGCCAGTTCAGTGGTATATTAGGCAGCTAATGATATATAACCTTTGCCAAATAGTGCAGTTGTTTGTTCACCTCATGTACTAGCCTGTTAAAAGAAACTGGCCCTCATTCATGTTTCATTGAGTTTTTTCTTTTCCAGAGTTCCCAAGTGATTATACCTAGAGTTGCTTGATACAGAGGTTATAGTTTAGCACAACAATCAGCTCCCCACCATGCTCTGATAACCTGATGCAGCTGAACCAGATTGACAACCAATCCTGCACCTTGTAATAACAGCCTCCACAGCCTTGTGGCAGTATCACTTGTAAGGAAAATATGCTGAAGAGTTTCCTGTTGTGTTGGTAGGCAACACTAATATTTATAGACAGTTAAGCATCCCCATCGCCTTTATGTATCATCTGTTGGAACCTTTCCTTTCCATAATCTCCATAAGAAGAAAGATATCTTGAATGGTAATCCCTTTGTCAATAGATGCTTATATTCATGATTTGGTCTGTGGCTATGCTTTAGTAATTGACAAGCACTGCTTAGTGTAAACTTTCCTAAAGCCGTTGGCATCCATTTGGGAGTGTCCCATGTTTCTGCAGACTTATCAAAATAGATCTCATGCTTTATATGGTCAGCAATGTCTTCAGGGAAATTTTGGATTAAAATCTTATCATTCCATGTATCTTCATCTCTCAATGCTACTACTTCTTGTAGATCTTCATTGATGTTGAAATCTGTTGGCACCATATGATACAGTGAACCCAGTCCAGTCCAGTTCTCATACCACACATTAGTAGATCCCTTATTCATTTCCCAAAGGATTTCATGTTCAACCCCCTCCTTTGCCTCTAACATTTTCTTCCAAACATGATATCCCTTATTAAAATGTACAGTAGTAGGAATATCCTTTTTGAAATATTTATTCCATATGAAGTTGGACCAAAATAATTTTGATGTCCTAAACCTCTACCAGAGTTTGGCAAAGAGTGCTTTAGAAATATCAAACAAGGATCTGAAACCAATTCCCCCCTCCTCCTTTGAAAGGCAGAGATTCTGCCATTTTGTCCAGTGTCTGCTCCTGCCCTATTCTTTTGTACTCCAAAAGAATCTAACAAATAACTTATGCATGTGTTCAATGATGTTATTAGGAGGATCTAGAACTGACAGGATGTGTATAGGTAAGCTCTAGAGCACACTGGTGATGAGAGTGGCTTTGCCTCCAAAAGACAGCAGCTTACCTTTCCAGGAATGTAATTTGGTCTTTACTTTCTGAATTAAGTCGTTGTAATATGCTTTTCTTTTACTTGTATAGAAAATTGGGGATCCTAGGTAAGTTAATGGGAACTTACCTCTTTGAAATCCAGTGATTGAACCAACACTTTGAAATATTTGTCCTGCCACATTATTGTGTATGTGGTATGAACTCTTTGCTTTATTGATCAGTTGACCTAAAGTCTATTCATATTGTGTGAGTACCTCAACAATTTTATTCAAAGAGTATATGTCAGCAGAGGTGAAGATTATTGTATCATCAGCATATGCCAAATGTGTTACACCCTATATTTTTGTACGTAAAAATGTGTCGTAAGCAAACTAATGTAGGACCAAAAATGAGATAATATTTAAAAGTATATAAAGTAAGTTAATCATGTTACCTATGAGGTTACAAATATTGAAGATCATGAACAACAAGTACAAAGAGGGTTGGACAGTTCAGAAGCTAAAGCAATTGAATAAAATAATGTTTCGTCGAAAGTCGACAAGTTGGGAATGTTATAACATGTACCTTTGGGGTGAGACCAGGGCGATTAACATGATAAAGAGATTATGTTATGATTTATATTAGTCGTATGACATCCGTGTGTTATGTTTTTAAGTCAAGCGAGTTGTGGAGCAAAAGTTGATGAAAGTCATCACAAGTTACATTCATAAGTTTTACTGAAACTTTAGGTCAAATGTAACTGCACTTTTCTCCCAATATACTTAGAGTTATGGGGTGTTCCACCCATCAAATTAAAGATCTATGAGTCTATTTTCCAACGCATTAAACTTTTTATCAATACGACATCGGAGTAGAGAAATATGGGCAGTTTTGCGATACTGCGCAAGCTGATAGGTGACAAGTAGGTGTGTCACCTACTTGCTTAAATGAAAGCCCAAAAATGGGCCATTTCGGGTCGTCCAAAGAGGCCTTTTAA